GGGTTTTTCCGCATCCTGGGGCCAAGGGGGCCGGGAACAAAAATGAATTTTTTTTTGGGCCGGGGGACTTTGCCCTCCAAAAACGGGGAAGAAATTTTGGGAAGGGGGAAGAAGCCGCCAATATTTTCAAGCGGAAATCCATTTTGGAGGGGGAAGCCCGGTTTCTTTTTTTTGCAAATTTTCCTTTTTCCCCAAGGGGGCCAAACTTAAATTTCCTTAATTTCCGGGGGGTTCCTTTGGCCTGGGAATACCCGGGCCAAGCCGGTTTTTTTTTTGGGCCTTGGAAAGGGGGCTGCCAAGCCGGAAAGTATTTTCGTTGGGCCAATTTTTGGGGAGGGGAACCATTTTTTGCCCCCTTTGGGGAAATTGGGAGGGCCCGCCTCCCCCCGGGGGGCCCTTTTTGGGGGAAAAATGCCCCGTCCTCTGGGGGGGGGGGGGTCAAGGTTTTACCCCTTAAAAGGCATCCAAAACAGGGGTCCCCCCCCCCCCCCCCCCCCTCATGAGATGAGAATCTGATCATGCGATTCTCATGAGAGCTCCCTTTCTTTTGTTGTGTGCATCATCCATTTGTACTGACTAACTGCTACCATGAGAGATGAGAACTTGCAAAGCTTACAACGTCTCATGAGACTTTCTTGATATCCACATGAGACTTTCAATAGTTGAGATGTTGTGTCATCATCCATTTTACTACTGCCCTCTGACGAGATTCTCATGAGCCTCTCACGAGTACTAATTTACTTGATATCGTGCGTCAAAGCGAAGTTTCTCTCATGAAAAAATGCTGAGTTTCTTATAAGATTAGAGTGTAGCAGACATATGGTTGGGCACTATCCAATCGGGTAAGATACGTCTCACCTGTGCAGAAATAACAACTTACGTCTGCGGAGTCCATATCCGTAGGCGATCAGGTGGTGTGACACTATCTAGCAAGCAGCCACCACAACATCCGAAAGCGTCACATCGCATCCATATCACATCCATGGCATCCAAAGCAAACTCCATAAGCAGCATGTATCAGGTTCAGCGCTCACAGTGGGGGGCCATTGGCAAGGGCATGGCTCAAGATGATTGCTTCCGAGGCCGGCATTGAGTAAACGCCTGGGTTTTGGCTGGGAGCAAACGCCAGAGGAGGACGCGGTGGCCCCCAGGCAACATATCCCGGCCCCTCAAGCAGGCTGGATCGGGAGACATATTTGTCTGTCTGATTCCCGAGCATGTCAGCTTACGTCCTCCGGATACTCGCGACCATGCGAAGTATCCATCATCGTACTTCGAGAACCGGTGGGGACGACCAGCCGAAACAAGGCTCTCACAACCTGAAGTTTTGTTTACAATCCATTCTACTTCTCCGCCCCCCCAAATATAATGACATTCTCATGAGACTCTCATGAAACGCTCACGAGAGAACTGTAGCTGACATTGTTTTCCAGTCCCCGTGTATGAGGTCTTTACACTATTGGAAGTCCGCATGGGACGTCCCATGGCTGTCCTATGGGATATTTGGGCCGTCCCTGGGACACGTGGCATGTCCCATGTGTCCCATGGGACAGCCATGGGGCGGCCGATAGGACACGTGGGACATCCTATGGTACACGTGGGACGTCCCTTGGCTGTCCCAACGGGATAGCCACGGGACACGTGGGACGCCCTATGGGACGACGCTTACAACGTCCCACGCGGCGCTGGATAACGCACGTGGGACGACCAAGCCTGACGTCCCTGCGATGTCCCACAAGCGTTCCTATTCCTAATCTCAATCCGTATTTAGCTATTAACTAAGAAGAGATACGAGAAAGCATGGCTAGGGTTGTCGTTGAA